TTTTTTCTCCCACATTCAAATATTATCCTTTACAACTGACTGTCAAATGTCCTTATAGAAAATAAAAATGTTTAGTACCTTCTGTTCATTCTATTGAATTATTCTCATTGAAAGATGAATTCAGGCTTCGCCGAATAACTACCTTTAGTCGGGATTAGATCCGGATACCAACTGTTTCTAAATATGTTTTTTGAATAATAAACAATCAAACTTCAGTGATGTTTTGGATAATGAAAAATTACGTTTAAGAAACGACGCATCCATTAACAACGCCATTTCCGAAACCACACGTGAAATTACTGATAGTAAAAAACATGAAGATTGCTGTCTTCTGGATTGTTGAATAATTATTCATCGCCCTGATGATGGAGGCAGCATGGACCTCTGAAACGTTGGTGGACATCGACCAGACTACACGGCGCAACAACCCAGAAGACAGAAATCTTCAGAATCACCGCTGTGAAAACCTCAAATCTTACACAGTCAAAAACATGGTTAATTCTTCTCAAAATTTTCTTGACAACGAGGCTGTTTTACTAATGTTGTAGTTTTTTACGTGATCCATTGTCAGTTTTATTGTTGTTGTTCTTAAATCACGTTTCTAAGTAAGGATCCTCCTTTGTCTTCCAGCATCAAGGGGCCTGAACCTACTCTGATATATTCCGTAGACCGGATACAGTCTCTCAGAATGTTCTAGTTGATACTCAGTGTGCACGAAGGAAGGAAATATATGCTAGCACGAAGTCATGTAGCAGAGAAAAATACAGAATCTTTCCTATAGCTATAAAACTATTTCACAATTACAACTATAGACTTACTTCTTAACATAATTAATTCTTTAAATTGTTGTAAAGTAGGTCGGGGCCACTGACTTTTGACAGACGTCTGTATTTTCATCCACCTTGAAAAGTTTGGCAGCTCAATAAAGGATAAACAATTCTATTTTGCAACAGAGACAAAATTGAAATATTGTAAACGTGCCAACATGTTAATGTAGTTGCTTTGTACCCTGCATATTTACCCAACCTTTTTTGTTTTGTTTTCTCAACGAATGACATCACGTAGGCTATAACTAAAACAAATTTAAAATTTAAATTTCACATCCATTTCAAATTCCATTCGTTTAGCGTACTACGTTGGCAGACTTATTAAACGTAGCTAAATTCATACAAAATTAAATGGTCCTCCTTTATTTATGAGTGTTCCGCCATCTATATAGGACAGGTACCGTCTAATAACAAATGACCAACTGAATGTTGAGTTAGCAGGAATCAACCTTGGCCGAGACTGGTCCACAAATTCCAAATACATGTCAATTTTTTTCCATCAAAATATCACCTTTAAGTAACTCTACAAATTGAAATAATTATTATATTTGTTTACCGTCAAATCACAATAAAATAGTAAGATAAGATAATTAAAATGATTAAAATATCATCTTATGTTTTAATCATTTTAATTATCTTATCTTACTATTTTATTGTGATTTGACGGTAAACAAATATAATAATTATTTTAATTAATATCACAATATGACGCAACTATACTATCTCAACTCTACAAATGATTAATCTCAGGGGATAGTATGGTATGGTTACATAACCTCATTATATAACACAATTAATGGATCCTGGTAGAATATATGATGACTTTTCCACGTAAACAAGGTTTTCTTCGCATGACATCATATAAGGTTTTGTATTTTGTGTTGAAATACTTCCAACCCGTTTTCAAACCCACCTGAACACTTGACTGCTGAAACAGCTCACATTAAATGTGTGAGCTATGTTCTGGCGGTTGTAAACACGAAGCATCACGCATCTACCCCATGTTCATTGCGTAACACGTCCCACACCTGTTTAGATTGCGGATTAGTGTCGAATTTCCTGACGGGCTGTCTGACAGCTTCGCCTTATCCAGGAAGTGTATGAATTATATCTGCTGTAGAACGACAAAAATGTTTTTATCATCTACGCAGCTGGAAAATTGTCAGTCAGTAGAATAAACTAAGAACCAAGCACACGAAGCATGGTAATGAACCTTGCGATTCTTTGAAAGTAGGGAACGTCTCTGTTAGCTCAGGGAATATAAATGTTTTGTGTCATTACTCTCCGTTCGTAGCTAACACGGCTATTTAGAAATGTGATATACGATCGTATTTCGGTTTTAACAACAGAAAATGTCGATGGATGATGTAAACGTAGGCGTAAGTATACTTGATATGGATGGTAACGCGGAGAATCCATGGTCGTGCTAAGTATTCGCTGAAACCACAATAAACCTCAGCCAAAATAATTTGTTCTTATCGGGATTCGAATTTGTAACGTCAAAGAAAAAAACTAGAGTAGTAACACACTTCATCGTAAGACGTCAGTTACATCTTCATACGTTTTATGTATGAAACGTGTAGGTCCGTGAGCCTGTCCTCAAATTTCTTTCTCGAAACTACTGAAAGAATTTAAATTTAATTTGTTATTGTAGTGTTAATCAAAACTTGATGGACGAAAATATTTTTTATTTCATTTTAGTTTGCTTACAATTTTTCAAATGAATCTCACACTGAAATTACCAGGTTTCTCAAAAATATTCGTGCGTTGTATCAAGTAATGTTGCATTAATACGTACAAGTTTATTAAACAAGTTTTCAATAATGTGAATAAGTCTAATAAGAACATGGAGACAAGACTTCTTAATAACCTAATGCTCAGTAGACCTACGTCTGTATTCTAATTGAAATTTTATAACAGCAGTTTTATAATGAATATCAAGATCAGTGAGAAAAGTAAAAACCCAAATGAAGCATTGGATTTAAATTCTTGTTTTCATAAAATTCTAGAGAAAAATGGGAGTACATTAATTGTTTAAAGATTTCAATAAAGCCTACGACTCTGTTAAGAGAGAATTGTTATATAATATTCTTATTGAATTTGGTATACCAAAGAAGCTAGTGAGTCTAATAAAAATGTGCTTAAATGAAACCTGTAGCAAAATTCGTATAGGTAAATATTTATCTGACTCATTTTTCATCAAAAACGGTCTGAAACAAGGAGACGCTTTGTCTCCATTGCTCTTTAACTTTTCTTTAGAATACGCCATCGCGAAAGTCCAAGATAGGCAGGAGGGTTTGCAATTGAACGGGACACATCAGATACTGGCTTATGCTGGTTATTTTAATTTATTGAATGGGTGAGAAACATGGTCTCTCACTCAGAGGGAGGAACATAGATTGCAGGTATTTGAGAATCGGGTGTTGAGGAGGATATTTGGGCCTAGGAGATAAGATGATGGGGTCCGGAGAAAACTGCATAATGATGAACTTAAAATTTTGTACATTAATTGTGATTAAGTCAAGAGGAGTTAGTTGGGAGGGGCATGCGGCGTGCATAGATGGGACAAGAGGTATGCACCAGGTACTGGTTGGGAAGCCTGAGGGGAAGAGACCTCTGGGGAGACCTAGACGTAGATGGGAGGATAATGTCAGGCGGGATCTATGGGAGATAGGAGTTGAAGGAGACTGGATTTTGTTGGCCCAGGACAGGGTCTGGTGGAGGGCTTTGGTTAGTTCGGTGATGAACCTTCGGGTTCTTTAAGTCATGTAGTTAGTTAGTTAGTTAGTTATTTAGTTAGTTAGTTAGTTCTCATAAGATGCATTTCAAGGGATGCTTTATCCTCGAACCTACTCGATGGAGACTGGCAAAGTTTTGTAAGCGGAATGTACACTGATAGATCTAATACGATCATGCAAATTTCTTAGCACTTCGCTCTGATTTCTTGATCAAACTCTGAGCGTATCCTGGAACGGAAAGTTACGTTTGTGTGTCTGCTTCAGTTTCTAGTGGTAATGACTCTGCTGGCAGCAGTACGTGCGGCCCCTCAATATGGCGGACAACTCCAAGGACAATACAGCACTCCGATCCCAATCATCAGCCAGAATTCAATCATCAACCCAGACGGATCATATTCTTACAGGTAAGACATACCTGTGCCATCGTGCAGGGAGTTTAACATTCTTATTAATTAGACTTATCGATTGACACTGAGATACTAGGAACGACCCGTTCTTCAAGTGCCTGAGCACTGCGGGTCTCAACTTTTCGTTGGCTTGATCTGTAGACATTCGGTAGGACTCCTTGGATGAGGGATCGGCCCGTCGCAAGGCCTCTACCTGTACACAGAACAGCACAACATAGAAAAACGTGGATAAAAACATTCATGGCTTGAGTGGTATTCGAACCCACGGCCCCAGCGACCAAGTGGCTCAAAGCCCACGCCTCAGACCGCGCGTCCACTGCGGACCCCTCCGATTGACATTTGGATGATAATTTAAATTAATATTAATTACATTTTGTTAGTATTTAGAAATCGTTTAATATTGCAGCTTACGACATGACGTGTTCATTGATATTTTGTGGCTCTCCAGCGACAACAAACAGTTGTTGGCACTGAAATTAGCCTACTTTCCATTACAAAGACTCCAGCGACATATTAGTATCTCCAGAAGTGCTGTCGTACTGGACAGAAACAACTCATTGAATCAGTGGACTACTGTTGTAGAATATGGAATATTCTTAATTATCATATATCATAACAACTTGCAGTAGGTCCTATGAGAGATTTTTCTTAGGTTGCTCTTCATGCTGACATAGAATGCAGTCAGAATCCTTCATCGCCATTACATATCGTGTCATAAAGAGCAAACTAAACATTAGGAAATATTTAACACTAGGACAATCAGCTACCTTACTCACAACAATCTACACTAGACAGCCACAAGCCGTCTCCTAAAAGAGCATAAATAAATTATATCAGCAACAAGTACATTAGTAAGTAAAGCTGTCCCACTATACGCCATGTAGGCGTTTGGGGGGAGTGGAGGTATAGCTCCACTCTTCCTTGATCTCGGCACTAGATGGGGGTGAGTGGTCAGCATCCCGCCCCGACCGGCTTTACCCCCGGGAAAGGACCCCGGCACCCATTGTAGAGAGGCTGGGTGGGCCCGAGAGACGGTCTGGACGCAGAGGCTAGAGAAAAAAATCCTTCGCCCCCCGTCGGGTATCGAACCCCGGTCGTCCATCCCGTAGCTACTCTCTATACTGACTGAGCTATCCCGGCTCATACAAGTACATTAGTACTTTGGATAACCTTTTAACTAGTTACATGACCTTGAGTTTTAATTTTACCTAAAACAAATATTCGACCCAGTACTAAGTTAATTCATGTAAATTAGTTTAATTTTAACACTTACAGTTCTCGAAAGTACTTATCATTTTCAACTTGTCGTTACCACCTGTTGATTGCATTGAGTCGAAACATGTGGATGTAAAGAATATATTTGAAACCTTCCAAACCTGTGCAGATGGCCTTCTGCTCTATACAGACAATTAAAAGTAAAGTTTGTCCCACTATACGCCATGTAGGCGTTTTGGGGTGAGTGGAGGTATAGCTCATCTCTTCCTTGACCTCGGCACTAGATGGGGGTGAGTGGTCAGCATCACGCCCCGGCCGGCTTTACCCCCGGGAAAGAACCCCGG